GTGTGACCAAGCCTCTGTTGTCCACTCCTTTTCCTTCCACAGGATTTCTTGCTCCTTGGTGCCAAACCACCACCTTCTACAGAAAGAAAAGTAAGAGAGTATACAATGAGCCCATGCTGTGTGGTCATAGGCGCCATACGCAGCAACACCAGTGCATTTTAGAGACATATAGATCTGCTCTCCCTTTGGTCAGCTCTGGGGCATAGGCCTCACTGCCCGTCTCTGAGTTCCAGAACACACACATATCATGTGGGGGTAGTAACACGATTGCATTGGTCATAGTGTTTTGGTTTTTCTTCTGTGTACGCATCAGGATGGAGACATGCTATGCTTTTGCTAATGAGTAGAGGGTCTCGTGGTTGACATGGATACCTTTTTGTGTTTGTGTTTCTGACTCAGGAAGGGCAGACTGTGGGGTACACACAGGTTGTCTTATACTTGGTGCCTTCTCCACACACTCCTGCATGCTAGTGGTAAGTTCTTGCTACCATGAGTTTCTACACCCACATCTCATATACAAGATCTCATTGTTCCTTGTCTTGAAGTTAACCTGGCTCATCAAAATGGTGACTGTATTGCTCCAAGTATGTTAGGTAGCAGACAGCAGGATTGACCACAGTTCCTGCACAGATTTGCTGAAGGTGTTCTCATTTTAACTTGCAGTGCTAATTTGGCTGGAACCAGAGACTAGAACTTGCAAAACTTTTCCTTGAAAGTTTTGAACGACCTTTAAGTGGACAAGTTACAAGGAGACTTCTAAATAAAAACTGTAGCTCTAGCATATGCTATAGTTTCCCTTCCCTGATCCGATACTTAAAGAGTATTGTTTGGATGTAAAATGATATGCAAATAAGTAAAGGTATAACTTCATAGGAATACAAGAAGGGAAAACGTTGTCGTTTTAGAAACTACAAGGAAACCTTGAGGAGAGAAATGAAATGGGAGCCAATGGCAATGAGGAGCACATGGTCAGAAGAGGGCGCTGTAGGAGATGGGAGGGACCTCAGGAATGACCATGAGGGAGGGAGTGGTGCTGAGAGGGACAGGTAAGTGAAAGTGAACTGAAGTGGTAACAGGTGGGGATATAGGTTTGTGGAAAAGGATGTATAGATAATGTGGGGGAAAGGTACATTTAAGTCTGTATGTCAAAGTCTAAATTTCTGGAAGAAGTGACATCAGTTAACTTGGAATGTAACTCTTTTCCTTAAGTGAGAAAGCATCATTCCACCTTGGAAGAGTCAGAATTAAGTATAGAAACTTTTAAGAGGACCAACTCCATCATATTAATATTTTACATTACACAGTCAACTACATTTGATATTTTAGGTTCTCGAATGCAGAAGAGAAACTGTCCTGCTGAGGGTGGGGTGGGAAAAGTGTAAGCCCTCTGGGTCTCTAAGGTGGCGAGCGTGGCCTTGTGATCTAACAGTGGCCACCAAATAGGATCAGGGAAGTCCCACCTGGGGAGATCCTGAGCAGGATAAACGTGATGATCCACGACAAGTGGCTGGCAAAGGGGATGACAGGTCGTGAGTTCAGTGATGTCCCTGAGGCAGGCTGTGAAAAGGTGTCTGTGAGTTGGCTCTGTAACACCTCAGCAGAGCAGGGTAAACAAGACCACATGTATCACTTGCTTTTTGAGAACCATCCTTCCTGTCGCTCTGAGG